TACCGGGGAAAAGCCAGACTATGTTGCACCAACAACTTGATCCTGTTTATGCCTTCCCCAAATGCAGTTCTCAGAAATAGTGGCTGGAAAATCCATAGAAGAGAGTGAGAAAAGTGTAAAGCCCAGGTCTCACAGCACTTTGCAGGACATGTTGAATATCCCTTATCTGAAATGTTGGGGAACAGATGTGTTTTAGATTTTAGATTTACTGGATTTTGGAACATTGAATATACATAATGATATACTGGGTCACAAAAGTCATGATGCATTTTTGCATAGAAAAATAGGTCATGACTTTTCTGACAACCCAGTATCTTAGAGATGAGACCTGCATCTAAACACAAAGTTCATTTATGTTTCTAATACCTTATATGCATATCCTGAAGGTGATTTTGTATGAATTTTTTTTCTTTTTTTTTTTTTTGAGAGGTTTTTGCTATAGCGCACGTGTGCTCACCAGACAAAGCCAGAAAGAAAGACAGAAAGTGAGAAATCAACCCCCAGAGGGGATGGCCATGCCGCAATCCCTTTTCCTCCATTCTCCTCTCAGGATCTTGGACACACACACACACACGCCCAGCATGAGTTTAAGCCACCAGGTCCAGGACCTGAACCACGGTCGACTATGTGGGAATCCAGTGACATAGCCATTATGCTAACTGCTGGTCCCATTTTGTATGAGTTTTTGTATCACATGTTTTTAAATACAACGTATCATATGAGGTCAAATGTGGAATTTTCTACTTGTGATGTCATGTTGACACTCAAAAGATTTCAGATTTGGGTTTTCAGACTAAAAATGCTCAATCTAGTTTCCATATCCAGCATAGACAGAAGCATAGATGTTTGAAAATAGAGTATTAAAAAAAAAAAAACAATTTTTGTGAAACACAACAAATAAAGTTGAGTTAATTTGCCCTTACAATACCCCATCTTGTGATTTCTTTAATAGAGTTGATACATTAGTTCAAATCAGATATTCTGTATCATTAAAACATCCACAAGCAAATTTGTTTTACATAACAGTTGCATAACCCTGCAGAGAGTGCAAGCTTAGAGGAACAGAACATGAAAAAATAGTATTACCAGCATGACTTAAATTAATTAAACAAGCATTAGGACCTTCAAGCAGTTACACACTACTGCTTCAAGTCTTTGGTGGGAATAGCTATTATTCACATGTTCAACCATTTTAATACTTTCTATGAATTAGATATAGACAGTAGCTGTGTTAGCTAGTGCTGTAAACAAAAGATAGAGTTGAAAACACATGCTATAATAATTAAAATATTATTAAGCTGACACAGTCTTTCTCCTAGATCTTGTAACATCTGTATTGACTGTGATAAGCATTGATTATCTGGAGTGATGTAAATATTTGGGGAGTTAATAACAATCAGGAATTCAGTGCATGCTAAGACAGCAAAGATAAATCACAGGAAATCCAGATCAAAGCAGGCTTGTGAATAAGCTTGTTTTTATAGTTAATGACTCACTATAAAGTGCATGTACACATTTCTCTTCTCCAATGAAATGCACAAGGAAATGCCATAAAGAAACATCCCGTTCTGTGTAGCATTTCTGTACATCTGTCGAATTTCCATATGTAGAGAGGAGGATGTCAACACACAGCACTACAAAGACAGAATTGATCCAATCCATCAAGTACTTAACATGCACTTTTAAAATCATTAAAAAGTTCTTTGAATTATTAAGACCTTTTTTCAAAAGAAAAAAAAAGCCCACAACTTATAAATCTTGCATTTCCTGAGAGGTTAATTTAAGGATGCTAGGGTCAGCAGTTACCCAGTTCTAGCAAAGATTCTGAAATTTCCCTTTAACTATGGCCCAATTCCAAGTTGCTTTCTTCTTTTTAAGAAAATCTCACCAACCTTGAACACCTTATACTTGTTATAAACAAGAAAAAAATGCATGCTTAAGGCACTGAACTGGGGCTCTTTCAGGTTATCATGGACACAGAAATGATGGGTGATCTGTGACTTATTTTTCATGTGCACACATATATGTGTACAAAAGCTTTGTCAAATATAGAGAAAAATCCCTGAACTTAATCTAAAAACTCATCATGATCTTTCTACCTATCACCACTGAGCTTCTTTCAAATTTATTTGCAATCTCCCACCCCTGAACTTCAATACTAACTTCTCTCTTCACCACACACTTCCCTCCCCCCTACTGCCTATTATCTACTCCTGGGTCCTCCACAATATGATATAGTCTTTCCATCCTTTAGACAGCCTTTGTTTTTAATGTCCCACCCACCCCCTCATCTTGTGCTGTGTACATTTCTTAAAAGTTTGTTCATTTCTTTCTTTTCAGAGAGACAAAAAGACACCCTCATGCCATAAACCTATACCCATCCTAATCTTTCAGCCAGCCAGGGTCATCAGCATGGGCATTAGCATGTACAGAGCCATGTGGGAAGCAAACCCCAATATTCCAGCTTTGCAGAGTATTGAGCTACTGCTGCACCACCATGACTGGGCCCGGGTCAAGTATATTTTTAAAATATTCCCATAGCACACTATATTTGTCTCTACCAAAGTACTCACCACACTGTATTGAAGTTACCATTTGTCTTGTCTATTTTTCTACAACTATAAGGTCTTTGTGTTCTTTTTATTTCTTTTTCTTTTCTTAATTTCTTCCATGCATGAGTGAGAGAAAGAGAGATAAGACTCCCAACAGGGTCCCCAACAGGGTCTTTTTTTTGGGGGGGGGAGATTTTCGCTATAGGGCACGTGCACTCGCCAGACAGAGAGAGACATAGAGACAGAAAGCGAGAAATCACCCCCAGGAGGGATGGTCATGCCGCAATCCCTTCTCCTCCATTCTCCTCTCGGGATCTTAGGCACGCACGCACACGCACCCGGCGTGAGTTTTAAGCCACCAGATCCAGGACGCGAACCATGGTCGACTACGTGGGAGTCCAGCGACATAGCCATTACGCTAACTGCTGGTTCCCCGCAACAGAGTCTTGATGCTACCATCCACCTCCACCCTCCAGCCAGTCCTGGATCATGGGCAAGTGCATATCTAACAAACTCAGAGAGGTCCCTATACCCAAAACAAGATGCTTCCCATATGGGGATTACCTTTCAGAACATCACTTTTTTTTTTTAAGTGTTTGCCATAAGACAGGTGTACTCACTGGAGAAAGAGAAAGACAATGAGCATTGTCCCACTATCTGACCCCCAAACATACAAGGTCTTTGAAAGTGAGGACCAGCCTTTATTCATCTTTATGTTCCCAGGGCTCAGCGTACAGCATCCACTAAATATTCAACACATGCTCAGTAAGTAGAAAAATAGGTCAATGATGCATTCATTCCTGTGACATAAATTAACTGTGAGGAAGACCCTACTAGAGCTTTGTAACATCTAGAGTAGAATGAGCACTTAGTTTAAGCAAGTTTCAGGGATCCAGAGTATCCTAGATTGGTCCTAACTCTTGAGAAAGGATCTAAATCCTAAGAGCTCTGAGAATAAAATAGAGAAGAATCCTAGAGAAAATTTTAAGTCAGCCTAGACATGTACCCCTAAACAAAGGTGGCTGATATGATAACCAATATTTTTAGAAATAACATAACTTAGAAAATGAGTTCCAAACTTGGCTGGTTTTGCTCCTGAGTGTACTCCAGAAGTGAGAGGTTTAGAGGCAGGGGGGCTAGAAATGTCACAATAAGACATATAGGAGAAGGTCCATAACAGCTTTATTTGTAATAGCAAGAAATTGGGAACATCCCAAGTGCTCCTGGACAAGAGAACAGCTCACCATTCTGTGGTATATTGATAAAATTAAATACTACTCGGCAATAAAAAGGAGCAAACCACTAACACACACTAGATAAATCTCAAGAACATTGTACTGAGTGAAAGAAGCTTTATGCAAAATAGTACATACCATGTGATTCTGTTTCTATGAAGCTATAGAACTAATGGTAAAACTGTAAAACTAGTTGATTTTACATTGGCAAAACTAATGCATGGTGAGAAAGAAAATCAGAATAGTAATTACCTATTCTGTAATGGCCCATGAAGAAACTTCCTGGAGTGCTGATAACATTCAGTATACGCAGATAGAACCTGTGTAACCTATTTGTCAAAATGTACCAAATGCTATGCTTAAGATATACATTTCACTACATGTAATTTCCCCCTTAAAATTATAAATAAATATTGAGTTATAATTAATGTTACATCTACTGAAATGTTTAGGAGTAAACTGTACTAATGTTTTTAATTTATGTTGAAATGCATAAAGATGAAATGGATTAATGTATGGATAAAGGGATTAAAAATGGATAGGTATATATATATATATGTAATAAATGTAGCAAAATGTTCATTGTAGAGTCTAGGTGATATTCAATTTATGATTCTTTTAACTTTACTGTATTTTAAAATTTTTATAATACACTTTGGAGGATGAAGTGTATATTTCAGGTCCCCCATCCCAGAGTTACCAGGGAATAGAGAATTAAGAAGCAAACTTGCCATTTATCTTCCTTTTGTTAACCTTGCAAAGTGATTTAATATACAGCCATCAGTTTCTGCTTTATGAGATTAATATTTAGGACTCACTGGAATTTGACCCAATCCAAATAATGTTTTGTGAACCTACACCCAACCCCCAATTTCTTCTCCCACCTATCCCAAATTGATTCCTAAAATTCCACCAGTATAGATTTGCTCCCTGAGGGAGAAGTAAACAAGCCAGTAAATCAATAATTTACTTACAATGGCAAAACAATATAATAGAGTGTTTTGAAGTGGTAGTTATTTGCATATGTATTTCATCCCAGGGGTAGACATACAAAGAACAGGAAAAAATCAAGGGAAAATGTCTTTTCAGGGAGAATAAGAGTGAAAATACTTTTAACAATCTTGCCTTCTCTCAGCTGTACTTAAGTACCATACAGTGAAATAACCCAACACAGCAACTCATTGAGATAGTGAAGAAAATCTACTTCACCCACCTGGACCCCAGTGATTTCAGTGTAAAAGGAAGACAATCTTCACACTATCCATGATGGTTCCAAGACAGGATTGCTAGTAAAATATAGGATGCCCAATTAAATTTGAATTTTGGATAAACTGAATATTTTTGAGTGTAAGTAGGTCCCCACTGTTGTACAGTACAGAATTACACTAAAACAAAACATTAGGGCCAGCAGGTGGTGTGGAGGTTAAGGTGCGGGATCCCACATAGCCAACTCCGTGGGTTCAAGTCTCAGACCTGGTGACCTGATAAACACTCCAGGCATGTCTGCATGAGTCCCCAAAAGCATGACAGGAGAATAGAGAAGGGATTGTGACATGGTCATCCTCCCTGGAGGGAAAGGGGGGTGATTTATCACTTTCTTTATCTCTCTCTCTCTCTGGCAAGTGCATGCACCCTATGGAAAAAAAAAAAAAAAAAAAGAACAGATTATTTACCTAGTGTTCAAATTTAACTAGACTTCATGTTTTGTTACTGCTGTGTGTTTATTTGTAAGTCTTTTGCTAAATTTGGTAACCATATTCCAAGGAGATGCAAACATCAGAGCTTTACTCAGATTCACTGCTGCTACCTTGATGAAAATTTCTTGACTGAGAAACCAGACTCATTTTTCTTTTTCTTTTTTTGGCTAGAGTATGTGTGCAGTCACGAGAAAGAAATAGAGACAAAGACAGAAGAAAAAGAGAAAGCATTCCCTATGGGGAAGGGTCACACCACAATCCCTTCTCCTTTTGGGGATTTTAAGAATGCATAAGGTCTCCCCTGTTTCTCTAGCTGCTGGGTCCAGAACTCAAACCAGGCAGTTGGCCATGCAGAATCCAGCTGCCGTAACTACCAGGTCACAGAACCAGCCCATAGACTCATTTGGAAAAGTGTAAGTATTATGTGTGAAAAGGAGTTCAGTGCATGATGCACAGGGAATTTTTAAACCATAGATCATTCAGATGAAGGCAGCTCACTTGCCATTAAGACCAAAGGTTGACCTCTCAGGCTCTAAGATTCACTACTGTGTCTGCCTTAAAAGGCACAGAGCATGCTTCCATGAACTCTACCCAGACAGATAAAGAAAGAAGTGTACCAAGACGTGAATCAATGCAGTTGTTTCCACATGTGCAATTTTGCCAAAAACTGGTTTGAATGAGAGAGGAAGACACTTGACATGGACAGTATAACTTTACACACCTTGGATAAGGATTGTTTTAACTGAGCCCAGCTCCAGCCAAATGCCTCCATCCCAACTTAATTCAGGGGCAAGAAGTTAGTTTTTATTTGTCTGAGGTTACAGTGGGTTCGAATGACAGACATTAAATACCCACCTTGGAATCTGAAAGAGATCACTGAGGCTAACTGAATACTTCTTTGTTTTATTTTAAAATCCTCTGCAAAATGGTCAGATAAAAAAAATGAGGTTTTTCTTAAAATGCTGACGGAATCGGTTCTCTGGGAAAAGAAGTGGGAGGCAGAGATGGCTAAAATCTCTACTTGAGCATTTGGCTTCAGGGTGGGGAAGCTTTTTCATATTTAAAGGTTGAGATTTAACTTCGAATACTATCATATTTAGAGGCTACTAGGGTAGGACTCAGTCCCAGCAAAGTTGTTTTTCTTGTTTATCCTCATAAACATAGACCATTGTGAATAAAATCTGAAAAGAGTTGGAAATAATAAATTGCAGCTGGACAAAAGCTGACCTTGAGTTTATACCAGCGATGTCTCCCAGACTCCTTGTAACACACAGCCCTTTTACAGGGTGGGTGATAATTTGAAGTTGGGAATGTGTAACATTTTGCACGGGCTTTTGAAATCTTGCCTATACACCAACTGAGGTCACCCCTAAAGAAACAAATGCAATTTTGTCTTCGTCACATACACATCAATGCAAATTTTAGCTCATATTTTCTACAAGCTTTTAAAATTTATTTGCCGTTCCTTTATAACACAATGTCTTCTTGCTTGTGCTACTTTAGTTTCTGAGCTATTGTTCTTTCCATCCATTTAGCATTCTACATTTAATCTTTCCATTTTTTTTTTAAAAAGACTATGCATTAACTTCTCTTTCTATAACCCCTGCGCTGCTTTTTCTTTGATTGTTGTAACAGTTTGTACTACGCAGCGGCACTGGGATTAATTGTGTCTCCAGTCATTATCTTGTCCTTGTTTTTTTCAGACTTATGGCCTCTGAAATTTTTCAAAACAGCTCGGGGACTAAAGAGACATCTTCTTCACAATAGCATAAACTAACACTCTGTAGACCCAACAATTGATGTTTATTGCACCTTACAAAACTACTTTAATTACCTTCAGATTACGGTCTTATTCAAATAGATGCATTCTCATCTAAGAAAGCCTGTGGACATTTACAAACCGCCTTTACAATGTAGTATTCTATGAAAAACTATTAGAACATTCTCCCCAGCTTATATGTAAAAAAGAAAGAAAGATGAATTTGTACTAAATTTAAAAAAAGAAGAAGAAACCTTTAGGTATGAATGCAACAGGGAGGTTTTATCACTTTATATAATATGAGTTGAAAGCCTGGTACCTTAAGAATTGATTTTGTCTCAGAGAGTCCTGGCCTTATTCCAACACAGCAGCTACATTGTCATAATCAGGTAAATATGTATCAGTCCATTCAGCTTCGCCAAGCCTCCAGTTTATGTTGACACATTTATGTCTATCTATCTGTACAGATAGATGTACATATTTCTTTACCCTTGGCATCAACTGAAAAGATAAAACATTCTAATATGTCTCCACATTATCTCCAAAAAAAGTGATATGACTGCAATTTTTAATTTAGAAATAAAAATAATTTAGATAACATGTGTTGAATACTTAGCATATTAGATACTGAGCTAAGTGCTTCATGTGTGTTATGTCACTTAATCTTTACATCTCATGAGGTATTATCCCCAGTCATAGAGAAGCTAAGTTAACTTCAAACTCCAAAGCAAGTGGCATAGCCAGGCCTCAAACCCAGTTCCCCCCAACTCACTATGCACTTGGCTAGTTTTTAACCACGTACCTATTCAATTATATTCTAACCTTTTCTTTTTTTAAATTTTCTAGAGAGTGCATATGCTTGTTGAAAACAGACACACACAGAGAGAGAGAGAGACAAGAAAAGCAAAAAAGCACTCTCCTATGAGGGATGGCCATGCTGCAATCCCTTCTGCTCTACGTGTCCTTTCAGGATTTGGGACATGCATACACATGTCCCTGGCAAGTTTTTCAAGCCTCCAGGTCCAGGACTCCAGCTGCATAGTAGGCCATATGAGATCAAACCACCTCAACCACTATGCCACCAGTTGGCCCTGTATTCTATTTTTAATATATCAAATATTAAATTAGATTGGCCAATATATGATGTACTTGTTCTACCTACATATTCATCTCTATTTCATATAAATAAACATTGAGAAGTCTAACTTTCCTTGAAGCTCTAAAATTCTATTATTTTAATATTCTAGTTAAAAATTAATTTATGTGTGACTCAATTTGCTTAAAAGAATCTCTGTAGACATGTGGCTCTGATGATCTTTTCTTGCCACCACTCACTGTACAATGAATTATCAATAAAATAAATTCCACCACAGTCTTAGGAGGACCAGTGCTTTCAAAACAGTATCTGTGTGCACATACCATATGGCATAGCTTTTTTTTTTTTTTTTTGGAGATTTTCACTGTAGGGCACGTGCGCTCGCCATACAGACAGAGAGAGACATAGAGACAGAAAGCGAGAAATCACCCCCCAGGGGGGATGCTCACGCCGCAATCCCTTCTCCTCCATTCTCCTCTCGGGATCTTGGGCACGCACGCACACGCGCCCGGCGTGAGTTTTAAGCCACCGGGTCCGGGACGTGAACCACGGTCGACTACGTGGGAGTCCAGCGACATAGCCATTACACTAACTGCTGGTTCCCCATATGGCATAGCTTTTAATATGAGCAATAAAAAATGACCTGGACATAAAAATGTTCACCTCAGAGGAAATTTTTTGGTTTTGGTTTTGTCATTTGCTATAGAGCATGTACAATCACCAGAGAGACAGAAGTCATCCCCCAGGGGGAAGGCCACATTGCAATCCCCCTCCTTTGTTTTCATCTCGGGATCTGGGGCATAAACACTCATGAACCTGGGAGTGATTTCCAAGGCACTGGGTCTAGGACTTGAACCACAAGTCAGCCATGTAGATCCAGTCGCCCTAACCTCCATGCCACCTGCTGGCCTGGAAAAAAAGAATTTTTTAATTGCTAGAGACTACATGCACTTGCCAGAGAGAAAAGGAGAAAAAAAGGGGGAGAAAGTACCCTCAATCGGGTGTGGTCAGGCCACAATCCCTACTCTGTTTCTCTATCCTGTTGGGATTTGGGGAACGTGTTTTTAAGGGACAAGGGCTGGAATTCAAACTTTAGTTGGCCATATGTGATCCAGTTCCCTTAACCACTAGGCTATGGAACCAGTCCAAAAATAATTATTAAAGATAGTCATTTTGCACAGTTTCTACATTTTAACAAGGTGGCAAATCAACTGAGATGGGAAACTCTAGAGATAAGATATGATGGTCAAATTGGTTTTGTCTCTAAACACAATCCACAGTTCCTTTTCAAAGGTTTCATTATACATAACATTAGGAATTCAAGACTTCCTTAATGTGTTAAAATATAAAGCTCCTCAAATGTGTGACATAGAGTTTAATTGATGTTAGTTTTCAGATATTTGGAATCACATCCAAAGTTACCTTGGGTTGTTTAATGTATCGACTCTTCTGCTCTGAATTGCCCTCACTGATAGAAATTTAATAGGAATGCCAGGCTTTCTCATTTATAACAGGTAGTTTCAGAATGCATTTGGGGCACAGCCATGAAGTCAGGCTGCTCTGTGTATGTCCTCCTCCCCTTCCTTCTTATCTTAAGCTCTCTAGCTACATTCTTCCTCAGCTTTTCTTTCGACACTTTTTTCCCCTACAGTCAGTCCTAGGTTCTTTTAGCCCAGCCCTTTCATTGGCATAGAAAAGCAAAACAGTAAACAAGCTCACAAGGGGATTACTAGTCAAAGGCAATGCCTCCTTTGGGGGACAATATTAGGCACTAAAGCTCTAAATAGGGAAGTATTTGGGGGTTAAAGGAGCCTCAGATCTAGATGGTCTCTCCCAACCTCTCTCCCAATCTCTTCTATTATTCCTGC